TAAAAATAGGACACGTATTGGCAAGATTAATGTGTATCCTTCCTAACACCAACTTCATGGTGCAACACCAGAAGAAGTTATTTTAATGGGAGAGATATTTGTAATCTTCAGTTGAAATCAGAGTACATCTGGAACATGTAAAAGAAAGAAAAAGTACATAACAGGACATAAACAATGTAGCAAGGGCAAAGCCTTAAGTTGAAAGAAAACTATAACTATTTTCCAATACAATAGCTGCTAGAATTCTTAAAACAAGACTGTGAATGGGTAAAACTCCCATTCAGCATAATTCATCCCCTCCTACCCTTTGCTTTGCTGTAAGTATCGCAATGGTTGCCCCTAATAAAATGATTCTAAGTAAGCATGAGTAGAATAATTCTAATTGAAAGATTTATTACTTATTCATGCCCATAAAATATATACCTACTGCTTTTAAAAAATGTTTGCCATGTATAGACTAAGAAATGCACACAAAAATTCACAATCTGAAGAACTTCAAGCCATCTAGACATAGAACACAGTTTCCAGTGCTACATGAGTATGGCACATTTAAAGCATTATATTCATTTTAAATCTGATACCTCTTCTCAATACTTTAAAACCATTGAGCATCTATACGCATGCCAGATGCATGATCCAATGCATCCAAATCAGAACACATCGGAGCAGACTCAATTCTTCTAATTAGAATGCTCCAGCAGCCTTGGCGTGATATGTATTCAGCATCTCCATGTTTCAAAATGGTGCTGGGGGTGCTTAAACTAAAGCTCGTTGAACGAGCTTTAGTTAAAGCACTCCCACTACCATTTTGAAGCATGAGACACTGAATGCATGAGACACTGAGGGTGTTTTAATTACAGCAGATTCTGAGAGCCGCTCTAATTTAATGGCCCCCCTACCCCCACCCCCAAGCTCAAGTAAAGATGCCTGTTTTGTGTGTAGGCACTAGAAAAGGGCCAGTTTTCTTTAATAATTATCACTCCACTGTATAGTTCTCATCTAATGCGTTATGCATATGTTGATTAGTATCTCTGGAAGTCAGCTGGATATCATAATTAGCAAATTATACAATGTATTTTAGATACAATTACACTGTAATGACCGAGTAGTGGATAGTTATTGGCAGCTAAAACTACCTTAAATGGCTTTCCCTGATGCAAAGCCAATGGCATGAGGGAAAAATAAAAACCATCCCAAAATATTTAAATCCACTTCCCATTCTCAAGGTCATAACATTCAAATCAATTATGGGGAGAAGAAAAAAAATCACACAAAATTCATAGCACACATCTTTATAGAACTTGTAAAAATACAATTACAACTGGTGGTTTTAAAAATCAGCTGCTTTGTAGAACTCAAAAACTGATCAAATTTCAACCAAGCAAAACTAGGCCAGCAAGGTATTTATGGGTATTGTCACTTAAAGCTCACTTGCAATAGATAACATCCCCACATGTGGTAACTCTCAATGGTGGGATCCTCCTACATTAAGCAAAAGGAAAAGGGTGGAAATTCATCTTCAAAGATAAAGCTGAATTCTTGGGAGTGGAAAAAGGTCTGAAGAAATGCATACCAGCTGGAGTGTTTTGTAGCTCACCGTGCAAGAAAGAGAATGTGGGATATGCATAGAGTGCTAGCCCTCACTACAGATCTTTTATAGTAATGTTAGATCCCCGCAAATATGACAGATTGTACATATCAAAGCCCAATTTTAGAACATAACTTTGTGGGCAATCTTGTCATAAAGAATTTAAACAGAATTGAAACTCCCTGTTCATTTACAATTCAAGCCTTTACTGAGAACCATATTTTAGCCATTTGAGACATTTAAAAGAACAGAACACCCACCCACCGTGCTTTAAGGAAAAAAAGAAAAAAAACAGCCTCCCGCTTTTAAATGAAATATCTTTTTAATAAAAAAGAACAAAAATGTAAACAGAAATTGACAAGTCATTTGTAATTATGCTCCTCTGCATTTCCTTGCCAAGAAGTAAAATCCAGAAATGGACAAGCAAAGCTTTGTAACAACAGAATTGATTTCCTATTGTAAGATTCAAAGTGATTTTTTTTAATATATTGCACATTAACAAAATTTAAGTGAACCAAGAATATATTCAAGTATGCCCCAGTATGTACTGATGGGCTGAATCCCAGCTCACAAACATAGACTCTTAGCACAAATTCAAATAATATGAATAGTAATGTTGTACAGCTTCATGGCATATAGTTGTCAGCTAATTCATGAGAGCTCTAGTGCCAAAGGATAGCCAAAAATACTAAAGAAAAAGAAATCAGGGTTTTGCATGTAAGAAAGAAATGAAAGTGTTAGTTCAGCAAATCCTATCCAGATTAAATAATGTTAGGCTAGTCATTGCCAGGACACCAACACTACAAAAACCCAAGTGGAACAATGCAAGAAAGTGTCCTCTTAAATATGCCAAACAAAAATGAGCTTTCATAGTTAGCACAGCATTCTTCTTATCTAGGCATTTTGATACCCAAATCCTGCTATCATCCTAGAGTGACCCCAACCTTCCTAACATACAGTCCCTCCCCAGCAACCAGAAAAGATTGAAAAGAAAGGCAAACCCAGCAAACCTAAATTACTGGGCTCCGTTTCAATCAAGCTTTTGAGGGCATGCATTAACTACTGATGAAAAGGATGGGCAGCAACATAAGTGGCACCATGAGTGACTGGTGCCTCCTGAATCTGGGGGGGTGTACCTGCAGAAGCCGCAAATGGTGGTGGCCCTGTCAGGGGAGCCACCAGCCCTACCAACAGCGTCAGTGTAGGCCATCAGAGGGGCACTGGCCCCTTCATGGGAGGGCACATGCACCCCCCGTGCACCCCTTACCAGTCACCCATGAGTGGCACTAACCCGTGTTCCATGTAATAACAACACTGACAATAGTGCAGCCTCATTTGCACCAACTAACCACTTAGTAGCAGTTCTCTAGTTGAATCTAAGTACAATAACAAGCTAACAGCATACAAACCTAAAGTGATAAAACTGCTCAGGCCAAGCTGTAACAGAAACTGGTATATAAAATAAACTGTACACCATATGGTTTTACACTTATGCTATTTCTTTGCTAGGAAATAAACAGCCCCATCTAAGATGCACCTTTTTCTTAGATAATCAGAAATGGACTTGACAGTGTCCTCAATGCCAAACAGCCACTGAACAATACAGTGAGGTTTAATTTTGATCATGTCTTGTCTATTATTCCACACTGCCCTACTAGCCCATGTCAGTGCTGGAGTTACTTCCTGCTTCTTTCTAATGATAAACTCTTTTTAATGTGTTTTCATGTGTTTCTGTCTCCCTTGGGACCAAAACCTGTTCTAAAACAACTAGGACAGCACATAGCAACTTTGTGACTACCAAATAATCTATCTGTAGCTCACAGCTTATGCTTTTCCAGGAAGCCTGTACATATTGGTTACATATGCTATTGTGGTCCTGTGAGTTAGCATGTGAATGGCCTATGTTTGGCAGTTATGTGTTCCCTTGACATTGGCACTCTCATAGACAGAAAGGTATCTTCAGCAGGAATTACCATGCTTCATTTTTAGTTTATTTATACTCTCTTGTTATGTAGTTGGTGCGTGCCATGTATCACTTCTGTTGATCCCATCTTACTGACTGTGAATCCTGGTTGTGTTTAACATCCATCCTAAATGTAAATGGCCCTGTCTTCACTAGATTTAAGCCCTTCAAGCACCACAGTTCCTGAGGGGAACCTCCTATGTTTGGTAAAATCAGCCTGATTTTTATATATGTTAATTTTAATTCATTCACTTTATAATGGAAGAAGATTCCTCTGGTGCTCAGTTCTTGCTCTCAATGGGCTGCTCTAGTCACTTCTAATTAAAGGAACTAAACAAGATTAAATCTCTATTCCTACCCATTCCTATATGCTTCAGTTAGTATAGACCACTGAATACAAAAAGTTTAATGTATACTTAGCACAAGTTACAAAATATTTTAATTCTAATGTCTACTTATTGATCAAAACTTGGCTAGATCCTGATATAATGGCAGATGCTTGATTAGGAATTATGGGGTTATTAGATAGAAGGCAAAGGCCCCCTTCCATTTTGCTGCATTAAAATATTATGAAAATTAAACTCCTAACCTTGTGAATATAAGTAATTTCACATCTCTCTGGGTGAATCTACATGTACAATTAATGTGCATAAATAAACTCTGGAGTTAATTGCTCTGGAGTTTTTTGCTCCCAGGTGTGCCAAATGAATGTGCACCCAGGAGCAAAACACTCTGGAACAATTAGCTCTGGAGTTTATTTGTGCACAGTACATGGACCCCAGTGGGAGCAGCCTAGTCTGGCAGGGGCCCAAAGGGTCAGCCTACCAGCCTAGAGATGCTCCAGCAGGGCTCCATGTGCAGCAGAGGGCTGGCTGAAGCATGAGAGTGTTTCAGTATGTGGTCTGCCTGCCAGCTAGTCCCACACTGAAGTACTCTCATGCCTCAGCCAGCCCTGTCAACATCTACATGTGCTTTTAAGTGCAGTAATTTACTACACCATTGAATTGTACTCGTGTCTGATGGTACAGTAAATTAGTCTACACTGGCCTAATTGCTGTGCATGTGTAGATGGTGGCGCTGTACTGCAGAGTGAATTAGCCTACTGTGCAACAGAGTACAAGTGTAGATAGGACCTCCTTGAAGATAATAATACAACTTCATGATTAAAATGGAGGCAAATTTTTGTTTCGATATGCAACCAGCCAAAATAGTTTGGTTTGTTGTTTGGGGTTTTTTTGGTTGGTTGTTTTTTGCTTGTTGTTGAAATAAAAAATGCATTAGAACTTGTTCAAAGGAGTGGGCAAATATAATTTTTTCATATTTTCTTTTTTAATTCCAAAATTCCATTTTTTTTAAATGAAACATGTTTATAACATAATGAAATCTTCAAAAATCTTAAGCTTGTCTAAGGTTGTTCAAAAAAAGAGGAACATTATAAGGAAAGGGTCATCTAATTTGTTTCCATTTTTTATATATTTTGATATTTATTTTTAATTATAGTCAGTTTTAAGTCAAAACATTCAGTAAATTGATATATAAATATTCCTGTGGGCTAATTACATATTTAAAATGCCAGATCAAGTTCAAGGTTACAATGGTGTTTAAATGGAAATACTTACAAATCCCTTTTTATAGTGACAGTAGTCATTTAATGCATGGTTTGAAAGTAATTTCTGAAGCATAGATCCCAACAACATCAGATCAGATTATATGTTTTTTGTTACTATGTACTGGTAGCAAAAACCAGTATGTGATACCTACAAATTAGAGTAAAAACAAAGAAATAGTTGTACACAAGGACATTAAAAAATCATATAAAAATATACACAGAAATATGCCATAGAATTGGTTTCCTTTTCTGGTAGTGTTATTGTGATATAAAAGTCTATTCATTAAAATATTATTTGAATGTATGAACCATGAAAATATATATGCACACATATACATATACATTTACAGTACACGTGATATGCTTTTAAAACAGCACCTATATGCAAAATATACTCCAGTCAGGATTTGGGTTGCATAATAGAAAGTAGGTGTTTGAAAAATATAGAAAATAGGTTTTAAGTTTACTTTAGAAATGCTCAAAATGTAGCAAAAATAGTTCTTGACAACATTTATAAACATTTACTGCTCTCTAATAAAGATCTAGGTGTGACTTTGGAGGTTGAATACATGTATGCTGGAACTGGTTTTGAATATGGGAAAAACATAACTGAATTTAAAATACAGACTTCCAATTTTTGATAAAAATAGCAAGATTGCCAGCAAGCCCCAAGTTTTTTCCATCCTCTATACCAGGGGTGTCACAAGTGGCACAGGCAGCCTGTCTGTCGCATGTGGCAGATCAGGGAAGGGGCAGACAGCACAACAGCAGATAAGGCAGGAAGCAGAGCAGGATATCACACAGGAAGCACAGCACAGAAAGCGAAAGTAGAACAGATTAGGCAGAGTAAGATGACCAGAGTAGTACTCAGGGAGGATGCAGGGCTAATTTGGAAAATACCTGCCAAAAGGGTTGGTCCCAAGCTCTGTACTCTCTATCCTGCACTAGAAGTCTTTATTAATTTTCAAAGTTGATAGTAATGTCTACTATGTCTGCGTAGGACAGTAAGTCGCAACCAGGATGCTGTGAGAACTTCTCAAGGGTGTAAATCTATTTTTTAAATGGATGCTGATTAATTCACAAAAGGCATAGAGGGGTGCCTCTAGTCCAACGAGGGGTGCCTTGAGTCTAAAAAGGTTGAGGACCACTGGTTTAGGAATTTACTGTATATGGACCTTAGCATCTTAGTACCTAAACACTAGTGATATACATTGGTATACTTAAACGCTAACCTGTCTGGCATAGGGATTGTCATTAAGTTACGTGTTTGTGCAAAGCATTGTACAATAGGGCTCTGACCCTGACTGGAAAGCTAGACAGCGTATTATCCCTAGGCAGTGCAGGCAGTAAGTAATCATATACAAATATCTGTATTTGACACCAAACTCTGTGTGCCCACTGGTTAGTGTGTAACAAACCATACCAGAAAGCATAACAGTTTAGGGTGTTGCAGCTATCAATCACCTCCTTTACCTCATTTATGCCTGTGTAAAGCAAGTGCAAATCTTTGAACGAAGCACTGCAGCTCTAATTTGATAGAGCTGTACTTGGACAATCAGGCCCTGAGGGAGCTGTTCTTGAAGGGAGAAATTCTCTCTCTCACACCCATTCTAGCTTCTTCAAACTGCAGCAGAATATGGGGATATAAAAGACCTAGATCCAGGCAAAGGAAAAGGCTCTAGTGCAGGACAGCAGCTTCAGGATCTTGTATACCCATTCTACCTCTTCAGCCAAGATCAGAGAGAAAGGGGTAGTTGCTTATGATGAGAAAGGCATACCAGCAGCAGGCCAGGCTCCTATAGCATTATGGAAATCCTAGAAAGCATTTCTGCACAGACTGCCATGATTTAGACTTGCTACTGAGAGCGTGCAATTTTGCGCAGTGCCAATACAAAGTGGTCTAGACTAGAAAGAGTAAAAAGGTGGATTAATGCCCCCTGGGTCCCTGTTCTTGGCCTCTGAGTTCTTTGCTGTATATCTAAGAGAAATAGAGTTTCATCTGACATATCTAGTTAGATAGAAATGCTATTCCCTTTACTTCAGTGGGAGGTCTGCCTGTACAAGAATCAGCCCTGAAAAGACTAACACATTCAGAGAGGATTAAGCAATACTTCCCAATTAGAGATGGTCAAAAAAGAGATATGAGGGTCAAAAAAGAATTTAAAAGTTTGACGGCCTGAACCTGGAAATCCTTACACACAACCGTAGTCCCATTGTCTTGCCCTAATATAATGTTTTAGGGGACTGTGACTTAAGAATCTGAAGATGGTGCTTCAGAAAAGATCAACAGCAGCATTGCAAGGCTTTCTATGCATTTTACAGGACCCAATGCCTCCGCTCTTTTGCATCAGACTTTATACTTCAGAGCCTAATAAATGTCCTTAGTTTGGATGTTTTATAAGTCAGTGAAAATCCCATTTAAATATTTCTTCCATCAACATTGTATAAATTCATTAAATTGAATCATTAATTAAAATCATAAGCCCCCCAGTACATTTTTTAAATCACATTAAGTTATTTTACAAATTATTTTCCTGCTCCTAAAATATACAATTGCACAATTAATGAATCATAGGATTTCTCTTAGGACAAAGTAACTGCTTCTGTGAAATTAATGCCAGTGAAAAGTGATTACTAAAAGAAACTTTGTAACCCTTATAAATTTTTAACTTTTTTACAGCGTTACATTACTTCATATTTCTATGGGTCTTTTGCATAGAAACACGAGAGGAAGATAATTACAAACATAGCAAACGTATGTAAACCCACAAACATAGGCAGGAGAACTCAAAGATACATGCAGGTTGTGAAGGAATTTTAAAATTATTGGGCCAAATTTTATTCTACCCAAGTGACCTTAACTTAATGAGTGTACACATATTTCATGATAGTCAAGTTCCTGAAAAAATACCTTAACATGCCTACTTTTGTAGCATGCCATCATCTTAGCCTTAAGACTAAATCACAAAAAGCAGCAATCAGGAGGATCCATCTATTATTGGCACTAACTGCTTTTTAGATTCAAGCAGGGTAGAACAGAAAAACTTTTAGATGCCTAAGCCAACACAGGTGCCTAATACATAGACTAGGATCTGACCTATGCTGTTTTTTAAATTGAATTTGTGTCAGGTTGACAGTATTCCTTATAGTGGCTTGCACAGTGGTAGCACTTCCTTCAATTTTTATTCATTTGTAACAAAGGTTTTAAAGTAGTGTGATCTTCTGAATAGGCAATAATTTTACGAGTAGTGTATTAAATATTTAAGCAATACATATTTAACATAACACAAATAAAAACTTACCCTAAGATTGGAACAATCTTAAAATACAGAACCACCCTTTTGGCACTTGAAATATTTCAGTGTCAATTACCAAAGTATTATTAATAGGAGAGGACAAAAGTATGTCACAACTCAGCCATAGCTTAATTCAAACCATTAACTGAAGGTAAAACTTTTTCAACATCAAAACAAGCTGTGCTGTTTGTTCTCTTCCCCACATTTTTGTTTATTCCTTCAAATTCCAGTTTCAATGGAGATGGAAACTAGGAAAAAAGTTTTGTAGAAACACCTGATTTTAGGCCTTGGATATTCCAAAAAACATTGAAATATATTTTAATAAACTTCCCATATTTTATCTTTGTATCTAAATCAGAAACTTGAACCTTCTGTAGTCTGCCTTTCACCTACAAATATTACATTTGGTCTAAAACTACAGTCCATACTGTACCTATCAATTGCTTCTGCTAACCAACTGTCATAGGAAACGTTAATGGGAGTTTTGCCTGAGTGATAATGATAATTGCACATCTAACAGTTTGAAAGCATTTACCTAAGCTTGAGATATTTCCTGTACAAAAAAAAAAGCAATTCTGATAGAACCAGTCATGACTTCAGGACTACTGGGAAATTATAACTTCAAGGAATTACTATCCCAGACAAACTTCAGTGCCCCTCTTACAGAAAACCAACATTAAGCCTCAGAAGCTATTCTAAATTTCTGTATTTTTACAAGCTCTAGAAACGGAACTATCTTCTCCTTAATCCAAATGAGTCCTACCAAGCCACCTCACAAACGTAGGTGAAACCACCATGGCTCTGGTTGTGCTGCTACTACTCATGAGATGAAGAGAGGGCAGGTATGGGTACAAAATGGAGTGAGAAAAAGAATAATCTTGACTAAAGCCTTTAGCTACATAGTTCTATCTGACCGTTTTCATTAATAAATGTTAGGTTCATCACGAACAGGGTGTACAATGTATTCATCCTAATATATCTGACATAAATAAACTTTTCCAAAATGTCTGTTCACAATGCAGTAAAAACCCCAATTTAAAGTACTAAGGGTTTACTTAAATAGAATATTTAAAAGGAGAAGCATTAATGAGATTTTTTCATCCTTTCTTCTCATTTCCCATCTCTAAGAGGGAATACAAGTGTACAACAGCCAAAAGAAACTTGTGCTTTCTGTTCTTATTATAGCAAAAAACAAACCTACTTTTTACATACAAACTAACTTCACAAAGGCCTAGGAATATTTGAAAAGTCCAGGCCTAGAAACTTTCATTTTCAGGCTACTTTAACTGTGGTTTCATCCTGTCATTCACTGAACTTTAGGAAGCGTGGAGACATGCCCCACACTCCCACCTGAAGTTGAAATGGGGCAATAGACAAACACATGTTTCTTCAAGAGATAAAAGATCATGATTTCTGGCCATCTTCTGCTGGGACAACTTCCAGGATGATCTGCAATGTCAAAGTTATCCTGTCTGCAAAGATAAAAGAAAAAAAAAATTAGAAATGCGGGGAAGTAATCAGAAAGATCGTCTCAGTAGAACCACACAATTATGTGTGTTGATGGAAGCATTTAGATGTACCTGTCATAGCATCATATAACGTCTAATTAAAAGCATTCCACCCTTGTTATCTTTTCTAACCTCATTTTGCTGAACTCTGATCCAAAATGACTATGTTTCCAATTTTAAGTGTAGAAGTACTCTGAATATTGAAAAGGGGCACCCATATTTTTAACTTAAACAATACTTTGGAAAAGTGATTCTCTGCCCAGCTGCTCAGTTCAAACAACCAGTTTTAATGTTGAAAAGGGCCAAAGGAGTTCAAACATATTGAATGTCACCCATATTTTATGCTAAAATGCACTTATCAAGGAAAAAGAAACAAGAAAAAGGCAAAAAAAAAGGAAAAGGAAAGGACTTGTAATACTTCCTCACTAATTTACTGATGTGACACCAAGAAGGAATAGCACATTCTGTTTTATAACTTGTGCTGTTAGATGAGAGCTATTAATGCACAAGATATTTCCTTTGGCCATTTTTGTGGCTCTCTTAATTACATTACTATACCACAAATAGGAGCAAATTATTAAAATAATTAATTGCAAAGAAACATTGACTTGTTCAAGCTCCACCTTAAATGTCAGGCACCCTTGAAAAAAAGGGGGGGGGGATCTGGACAGACAAAACAACTGAATCAAACTAAACGTGGAGGAGGAAGATTTACTGCTTCTGAATAGACGATGCTGATCCATAACAATTGTTCTATATGTCTGCTCTATCCTGCATAGGTGGAAACAAAATTGGGGCAGTTTACCCCTGAATAAAACAGCTGCTAAATTACTGCAGTTCAGCTCCCGCGTACTGAAGAATACAAAAAAACCCACAAAATATCTGCACAGATAAGTCTGATATGCAGAAAATCCCCTTCACTGCCACTTCATACTAATATAACTGTTTTGTATGTCCATGGCACAAGGCTGTGGATAATCAAATAATCAATCACCCTCAATTTCTCTCCATACTGCACTTCCCATCTGTGTGTATATGCATGTGGTTATGTATATTATGGTTAGAGTAGGAAGATTTTCCACAAGAAATGCTTTGATCTGCAGCCTGGATTAAAGAAGTAAGCTGTAAGCATTAAATACTCAGAGTATTTAATTCTTAAGAGTGGCTGGAAATATTGGGTCTTGTGTATACAACCCCCCCTACAGCCCTCTGGCAATAAAATTGATTGTTGCATCCATTTTAAAACCCTTTTTTCACTTCCAGTACAGGGCTCAGTTCAAATAAGCTGTCCACAACTGAGCATATGGACAGCCTATACAGGAGCTCTGATCTGATATTTATAACCACAGAATAAAGGCTGGGAAGAGAAAGGAAACCTTATAGCAGAAGCAGCGATTTCCTGGACATGTATGTGACAGAACATGTGTGTGACAGCATAAATCTCCTATGAAGCCCAACTTCATTAAGATAATGAGGAGAGATGAAGTGAACACATATTACTGCTACATCCTGAATGAGCAAATGGCACCCTCTGATGTCTAGAAATGGCTGTTAAAGTAACAGCTGTTATATGAATAGCATATCTATATCCTGATTCCTGAGAAAATTCCAACAATAGAAATCTTTCTGGGAGAGAGAGCATACAGGTATTCAACCTGCAGCTCCTCACTCTCTCCTGCTCTGTGCACCCTCACCAGACCAGGGGAGTGAAGCAGAAGGGGAAAACGCCTAAGCCTTCCCTGGACCAGGGTCACTCCGGTCTGAGGACCAGGTGGGGAGCAGCTTCCTTGGCTCTCAGTCTCAGAGTGTTGCAGAGGCAGCAGCAGAGCAAAGCCCTAAGCCCAGTTTGAGGAAGAAGCTGCTGCTCCCCTCCCAGGGTAGGGAAGAAGCAAGACAAAGCCCTTCACCCACTCCCCAGACTGGGGACTCTGGTCTGGAGAGCAGGTAGGAGGCTTTGCCCCACTGCTCCAGCCCCATCCTGGACCAGACTGGAAAGGAATGTATTAAGTATTCACTCTTGCAAAATATTCTCTCTTGCAAAGAAGATTTTCCAGTTGGACACCTAGATTTTTCTCCTGGAAAGGGCATATTTCCCCAGAAGAAACTAAGTGAATGCTTGTACACTCATAGTGTATACTACTCACGACACACTCAGTAGGACATCAACTAAATGTATTTTTCTAGGTAAATAGAATACAGGAACTTTCTACTGGAATGACTTCCTGGGTCATCTCCTGCAGTCACCTGCTACTGCAGACACCCACTTCAGTGGGTGCTTTGTCCTTTAGTTCAAGGATTCGTCTCCCACCCTCATGTTTACTCTCTGTTGGATATAAAGGTAGTATATTCTCTCTCAGCCTTTGTGTTGCTAAACTAAACAAATCTTTTACTTTATTTAGATTATTTTCAAGGTCTCCTTTGCCCTTATCATCCTAATAACTTTACACCTTTTCCAGTTCAAGTTATATTTCTTGAACATGGCATAAATACCTAACTCACCTGAAACACATATACTATTTTCTATGGCTGCATCAGGTTGGCAGCTTCTTGCCACTGTCATCAACTTCTACATCGTGGTCTTTCTCATCCTCTGTTGTTTCTAACTAATAAGCTATCAGCTTATAACAGAACTCCACCTTGTCATTCCCCTTGTGCATAACCTTGCACATTGTACAAATGAATTTTATCCCATTTCTATTACTCCAGTCCTCACAGTCATATAATTCTTCCTCTTCATTCTGATGTTCCTCTATATTAAGAATGCCTCCAAACACTGTGTTAGCAACACATTTAATTAGCACCCATTTTGTGAGCCAAGGTCATTAAGGAAAACATTACAGTTCACTAGTAACCTCCCTCCAAACTAATACTTCCCCTGCGACACAATCCAGTACCATCTCTTCTTTAGCCAGTCTCTACCTTACAACTGTCATACTAATCACCATCTGTACCATGTGTCACCATATCATGTTTTACAGGACTCCAGATACATTAGATCCTATTTTCCCCACATCTAGCAAATCACTTACCTTGTCAAAAAAGGGTTATTGGATTAGTCTGGCATGATCTGTCTTTGGTAACCCCATGTTGCATTTTCTCATCTTTTCCGTCTACCTCCATAACTTTATTCTTTTCATCATTTTTTTTTCTGATGCCCTTGCATGTTACTGAAGTCAGGCTACTTGTCTGAATCACTTTCCCTGTCTCTTGCCCCACCCTTAGATCTCAGAATAACTTCCTAAATTAACTTATATCGTGCATGTGAAAAAATGCTCTTTTTTCTTAGAGCGCAGCACTATCAACTCCTACATAGTAGGTATGTCTACACAAGAGACTGACTGTCAGGTAACTGCGCATTTATTTAGTACTTGCTAATACAACTACTAAATAAATGTGCAGTAACCATTGTGCAGTAGCATCTCGTGTAGATGCACCCAATATCATTTTTTTACTCCAAGGATATTGCTTACTATTTATTCTGAAAAAAAAAAAAGCTATTTAATGAGTGGGCTCCCACCTCCCCTTTACCCCAAAGCTGTCAGCACTGGTAATTTACAACTACAGTTGTTATTATGGGAATGATAAAGTCAACATGAACAAGCTGTTTCACCCACTGAGTGGTGTCTGTCACTCTTCCAGCTGAAACAGCACTGTGTCTGTAGGTGTCAGACCAGCATCTGGCTTGCTTTGTGACATGAGAATCCTGTGTTATCCAAAGTACTAGAAGATTCATCTACACTAACACAGCTGACAGAAAAAGCTTCAGATATGTCCAGTCTACCTTAAAGAGAATATTTTTTCTTTTGCCCGCATAATGTAGTTCAATACTGGCATCCTGTGGCCACAAAGATTCAAGTAACTGTGTTCCAAAACTCAGTGCACACAATTCTGCTGGTTAAATAAGGAAAAGCTTTCTAGTTCCTAAATATCAAGCCTAAGACATGATAAGCTAATACAGACATCAGCTATTAAAAGCAGTGCTGATTGATTGCTGTTTGGCACAGTGTCCTGTTATATAAAACTGGCTCTATCTCAACAAGTGCTTTTTTAGAACAGGTCCGTGACACAAGCAATGACAATAGAGAAAGAAAGGAAGGATTATGGCATAGGATCCAATAAATAACTTCTTATTTTAAGGACTACATTATGATATCAGTCTATTGCCTAGCATCTTAACCTGCAAAAAACCCAGGTGACTTCATAGAGAATGCCTCAGATTTAGGGGAATACTCAGCCTCAGTTATCAGGAAGAAATCTGGCCCTATCACAAGTAGGCTGTATGCATACAGCCTTTGCAGAGATGGGGAGATTCTTTGCTTTTCATCTGGTAAAGTTTAGTGGAAAACAAAATTGTTGTTGAAATCTAATTTTCATGGATTTTTTTTTTTTTAAATAGTAGTTTTATAATTCGGGTGGGGGAAGCAAGTCGCCCCTCCCCCCCACCCCCCATTTGATTAACCGTCACCAACCATTTCTCAAATCTCTCCAGAAATCTTGCTTATATTTCAGCTTGCACTTCCAAAAACTTACTTTCTTTTGTGGTTGCTTCTCACAAGGCACAATTTTTAACAGCAGAAGGAGAAAGGGATTTTTACCAAACTGGTCTAATTTTTTTTTCTTTGTAATCAAAAGTACTTCAGATATCTTCTCAGAGGCATGGCAGCATATAGTTCCAGGCTCTGGGCCATGGCAGTTGCTACAGTGCCAATCGCAGTGACACAATTAGCCATCAGTGTGGTCGCAGCTTTTTTTGTACTCCCTCCCTCCCCCCAACACACACACACAAAGTATCTGGGGCCGCTGCCCAGGTTCCTTCCTTAAGTTATGTTACTGTATCAGTTCCTCAATAGGTGAAAAACTCCCAAATACTTTTGAAACATCCAAAAATTGTATTTAAATTCTTTTCCTTGGTTTGTTTCAAACAAACATATCAAAGCTAAATTACTGCAGGAGAATATGCTGAAAGCTATTACAATAAAAATATGTATCAATTGTCAGAATAATACATTAGGACCAATACGTCTAATCTTATAGCTTTGTTTTCAATAGTTCTTCATAATCATATACCTGAATATTGTTTTAATAAAGGACTTGAGATCTTGGCATGCTCTAACCTTTGTTTGCATAGAGAACACAGAAGCAGACCTATGTTCATGACAATGATATTTTAGTTTTCAAAAATCTGTTGTTCTGTCAAGGAAATGCTTCATTTATTAACGTAGGCAAATGGCTAGGGGAGGAAGGTCAATGACCTGAGTAAAATGGAGTCAAATGGGGAAGGAGGAAAGGGAATTCAATTATTTGAAATGCCTTTTGTTTCAGAAAAATGCCTGACAGGCTAATTGTTTTAAAGAATGGCCTTGCTGTAAACATGGCCCTTTAATTAGTTGGTATTTATTTTAACTGGTGAAATTGTGTTTACAGCATTTGACTGCAGAAGAAGGCTGCATTGCTGTCACTAACAAAACCGACTGTTGTGGAATCCATTAAATTCGGATTCTGGGCAACAGAAAGCTTGCCAAAAGAGTCCCACATCACCATGGGCTTACCTACAATCTTTCTGAACCATTTTGGCTTCTTATCCCATACGATAAAGAGGTAGTAAGCTGGAACTCCAGTCAGGGTTATCACAAAACCAATCCCTGTATTGAGAGGATCAGAGCCAAGTGATAGTGCAGCCATGAAGAGACAGGTGAAGGAAAACAGTGCTGGAATAAATAGCGGCACCTGAAACACAGATCAAAAAGATACATATTTCTTTGTACAAATTACCTATATATATTGGTCATATATAGAAAGTCAGTGTATAGCAGTGTAAAACACTGTAAAACTTGGCTATCGGATGCCAGTGGTAGTTAATGTACCATGAAATGTAAATCAAATCAAATGGTTCTGCAGAAATACAGGTGTTTAAAACATGCATTTGAAGTGACAATAACTAAAGAAAGCAAATTAAACAAAGTGTTATACAGTAAGTACCATAGATGTCTCTTAATTACATACTAAAACACTATAGTACTTTCAAGCCTTAAAAAATAGAAGGGTCGTAAATATGTTACATCCTCAAAAGTCCCTTCTCCAGGCCTCCATTATAGAAGTGGAATCACTAACTATGGTAAAGATTTCCTCTTTGATAATTACCAATTAGAATCAAGAAAAAGCAGAAAGGAGCTCAAAGTCACCAACTATCTTTTAAAACTATTAAGATTACATTGATTTTCTTCCAGAGGTAAAAATCAAAATCTAACAGGAGGAGGGCAAATTAAACACCATTTGACTGTGGATAAAAAAATTTGAGAGCATTATGCAACTGATAGCAACTGGAAAGTACTGTTTCTGACAACATGACTGATAACATTATCAGTGTCATTTTGAAAGTGGAAAAAATAGCAATATCATATTAATTCTCTCAACTTGCAAGCACTGTAATCACAACCTTTACACCTCTTTGAAGGAAGTGCCTCCTCATACTGCTTAGTGAGATGGCTGGTGTAATGGAGAATTCGCTAGAGATTTCTCCCTTGCTTTAATGCCTAAAAGCATTACCGTTTCTATACTGTGAATTGTGAATGTGTTTTAAAAATGAAATCAAAGAAAAATAGACCAAGCAGTTGACATTCTCTGTATGTATGTCTAAAAGAATGCAATAAAGGTACATGCACGCATGCATACACACGCATGCACACACACACACACAGCTTTATCTGTAAAGCAAATTTTGAATTTTTATTTCAATAGGGAGGGAGTCTGCCACTTTTACTCACATTACAAACAATCTTGCTGCACAAATAATCCCAATAGCTCTATTCCCATAGTAAGGTACTACTTGCATACTGAATATCGCTTACAGAAGGACACATGGTGAAATCCAAGTCAGTGACTACTCTGCAACATGGGGCAGATTTTCAGCATTATGTTCTAGGTACAATTTAGTGTTTACTGATTACTGCACCTATAATTCTGAGCACAAATACCTGCAGTTAAAAGTCTGTCTACCTTTTTGTACCCAGAATTCGTGATGGGCAAAAATTAAGGATCTATATCTAGATCAAGAAAAGAAGAAAAAGCAAAACCAAATGCCCATCCCTTACGTCAGCAGTTCCTTAACTAAAGAAACTGATACCCTAAAAGCACCCAATTACCCCAAGCTAACAAATGACAAATGGTATTGATGTGCCTCAGCTTCTTGGTGATAACTGTATCTGTGGCTATAATTGGTGCATGGTGGGTGTGTCTACACGTGATTTTACATATACCTAAACTTAACGCACCTTAGCCTAAGGTGCATTAAAGCAAGTTAGGCACACATCTACAGGTGGATGACTTAAGACACCTTAACATGGTGTGCTGAGCAGCCCTGGTCAGCACCCTGCACAGCCCCCAGAAGCCTGCAGCAGCCCAGTAGCCAGGCAGTGCAGCCCAGCACCGGTTGATGGGGTGGGAACCTCCAGTCCCCCCAGACATGGTCAGCCTGGCCCTGGCCCTGGCTCTAACCACCTCTGCATACTCCTGTCTGCCCAGCATTGGACAACAGTGAGTGATAGCCAAGCCCACGTAGCTCCATACTGCCACCAGGCATCACCAAGAAGAAGAAATGGTGGCTGCTGTTCTGCAGGGGAAGGGAGCAGTGCAGCATGGCCAGGGCCTTTTCTAGTGGCTCCCCTGTGCCTCACCCTTGGGCAGATCTGCTGACCAGGCAATGCAGCCCTGCCAGGGTGGGCCATCTAACTGCCCACCCAGGATTCAAGTGCCCTTAGAAACCCCTGCTGGGGCTCCCACCCGGGACAGCAGATGGGCTGGGACTGAGTCTACCCCAAGCGCCCAGCACAGCTTTCCCTGCTGCACCCACCTCTGTCCTGGGCAAGTGCCTGGCCTCCATGCCAGGCACTGCAAGTGAAAGGTGGCATGAGCTCCTGAGGGCTCTGCAGAGCTCAGTCCAGGCAGGCTGGGTTCAATGATGGTGGGGGTTCAGCTCTCTCCTTGGCACACCTGATCTAAGGCTGAGCCCCGACCCATGTTGCACCCAGCCTGCCTGGGCTGAGCTGTGCAGAGCCCCCAGGAGCTCACACTATCTCTCCCACCCACAGTGTCTGGCATAGAGGCCAGGCACTTGGCTGGGATGAAGGTGGGTGGAGCAGGGAAAGCCATGCCGGGTGGTAGGGGCAGACATAGTGTTAGACCACCTGCTGTCCCAGGCAGGAGCCCCAGCATGGACTTCTAAGGGCACCTGAATCCTGGGTGGGTAGCAAGGTGTCCCACTTCTGCAGGGCTACATTGCCCAGCCAGCAAACATGCCCCAAGAGAGAAGCACAGGGGAGCCACTAGCAAAAGTCCTGCCCACACTGCACTGCCCCCTTCCCCTACAGAACAGCACCCACCACATCTTCTTCTTGGTGATGCCCAGTGGCAGCACGGGGCCCCATGCACTCAGCTTCAGCCCACTCAGTCACATAGCTTTAAGGTGCCTTACACCATCTAAATGTGGGTTAAGGCACCTTAACTAATCGAACCTAAATTTGTTACTTGCTTTATGCAGGTATTAAATTTAGGCATGATTTGCCTAAAGTTGCCATTTTTAAGGCGCATTAAGGGCGCACGCATTTAGACCCGTGTCTTTAATGCACCTTAAAAATGGCTAATGCACCTTAAATTACCATGTGTAGATGTGCCTGGTGACAGCTAAATCAAAGCAACTTAGTCCTGTTTCTTTCAGGCATAAACTACTGCAGTTCAGCTCCTATTGTGGGGTAACTTTAGGGACAGAAACAGTTACCACAAGGCAGTTTAAAAACAGTTAAACCCTATTCCCTGTTAAATCACAGAAAAGTCCAACCCTCTGCTCAAGACAGGATCATTCCAATCCAAACTATCCCATATAAATCCTGCTCTAACCAGTTCCTAAATTTATACTCAATCCTTTGCACACCTATAAGGCACATTGCCCAAAGACACCAAGAGCACCCTAAACTGCCACAAGTAAAGCAGGAGAACAAGGGCTGCCAGTGTCCAGTGTCCTGACAATGCAAGGGTTGTTACAATCAATTCAAGAGATCCAAAGCAGAGGTCCATCCCCTTCCCACAGAGGAAGGCAAATACCCCCATAGTCATTGGCGACACACAGGGGGTGTATGCGGGTGCATATGCACCCCCTGAGCATGGCAGTGCACCCCCTCTGAAAAGGTGCCATCGACACTGCCAGCGGTGCCTACAGGCAGTCACCACTTGCCACCCTCCCCTTGCTGCCGACACCACTGGAGGCGTCTGCAGGCGGTCTGCGATTGCTACTAGCTGATGCTGTCAGTGACATCTGCGGGTGATCACCGACCACCAGTTGGTGCTTACAACCCCCCACCCCTGCCACCAACAGCCCCACCTGTGGGAGCGCCCCGCTTGCTGCTGCCATGTTCCCACTGCCGACAGCACCAATGCCACCTGTGGGAGCTTGCCATGCTCCCCCAGCCTCCGGGGGCAGGCGGTGTTCATGCCCATAGTCCCTATCCATCTGACCATGGGGTAAAATTCCTTCTTGATCCCAATGTAGTGATCAGTCTAACCCTAAGTGGAGGGGCAAGACCCTCTAACCAGGAATCTCCAAATTGTGGTCCCAGCAGCAGCAGGAGCAATGGCACATCCCCAGCCATGGCTGCAGCTGACACCTAATGCTTTTTTCAGACACATGAATGGTTACCTTGATCATGTGAAATTATTAGAAAAAGTGCAGAGACTGCTGCCTTAGATGTTTGACTACTAATGTTTGTGGCTGCCTCAAATTCTGGTTCCAGAAATGTGAGTGCAATTATTTACACAAAAGCAAAACACACATTGAGGACCAGCTGAAACCCTGGCCAATGCATACCACCCTGAGACTGACTGTGTAGTATTAGGAAGTATTTTCATACAGCCTGCTGGAGCACTAGTGCTTCACTTCCTCCACCCAGTGCATATGTGAAATGATCAAACGTCTTCACTTTCACACAGCTGCCTAACTATAATCTATAAATCCTCCTCTTCTAACCTCATCAACAGTGAGTAGGAAAGACTTCTTTCCTCTGGAGAGAAACATGATTAGATTAGCATTTTTGCTCTTCATCAGAGTTCTTAAAGACAGGCACGATGGGAATCTTAATCTTAGTGTTAAAGAATACATTTGCTATTAACTCATCTTTCCGCCAAGAGGTTCATATTTTATTCCAAAATATGTACTCCTTTGCCATCAGGCTGTGGACAGAGGTAGGTACAGGTTAGAGAATCTTGTGTAAAACAGTAATATTGTGGAGGTTACCTTGAAAGGACGAGGCATATCAGGACGTTTATATCTGAGATAAATCAGCCCAGCAACTGCCAGTCCAATAAAAAGCCACCTGGCAAAACTGAGGAAATTCAGGAGATCCTCAAGTTCACTAGTGAAGAGCATTATCATTGTGAGAGGATGCTGCAAAAGAAATTCAAAGAGCAGGAGAATTTTAATCGACCAACCTATATTAACTGCATCATCATCTTCTATTTATATGCTCTTTAGACCAAAAGCACTCACAAAATATACACATTCTGCATACTTGCAAAATGCATCTTCTTCTGGCTAGAGAGTAGAAGCTAACTATCACACAAGAGGCTGTACAGCAGAAAGAGCAGAGGAAATTTTGGTCATCATCAAGAAAAATAGCTTCCCTTTAAAGAAGTGCACCAAGATCTTTAATGTCTGCATAAATCAGAAAGGAACTTATTGCATGCCTAAACTTGTACTTGGAGTTAATCAATTGTTCTGAATTCTAAATATGATTTTTCATTACCCCAAGGATTTTGGTAAGAAATAAACATTTGTACCCTGGATCAAAAGTGTATATAAGGGTAAGCAAGGGACATTCCAAACAAATTAAATATCACAAGTTATTTGGCAACTAGTCAGCTCAAGGTAAACACGTCTAATAAAGTTGAGCCTTCAGTTTTTGAGGCCTAATTTAAAAGATTCAACTTATGTTTTTCTGGAATGAAGGAACCTTGGCAGTTCTGCTGGCAGGAATCACATTGTGCTTGTACTTGTACCCCACTGTGGGGTTTGTCAAGAGAACTATGCTGAGGAAGTGATGTGATCTTTTGCAAATAGACCAGGGCTATGGAGCTTCTGATCCCATGGCTATGGTGTCCAAGCCTCTACTGGAGATGTGGCATGTGCCATCAAAAGGTTTTCTTTTGCCTTTGGAATTACTTAACTTTCATTGTGTGGGGAGTCAGTGTAATAGAAGCATTCTTCTATTGGCATAGTTGTACCCACAACAGGGGTTGTGCAAGCATAGCTTCATTGGCTGAAGGGTCTAATCTTTTCATATCCATGGTCCATCAAGATATGATGACAAATCTTTGAGGTATAAGCCAAAACTAACACTTTTCTATAAAAATAAGTGTTCAGTGTATACACAGAGCCAACTTGTAGCTGTGACACTGCATTGGTAACAGACCCATCACCATACTGCCCAGTTCATTTCCCCTTTTTATTGCCCCTTCACAGTTACTTCTCTGATAGCTGTTTTTTAAACACATGCTCTCTGACTTTTTAATCACATATGCACTGCACTGCTGAGGGCTCCCACTCCATTATCTTTGCATATAATTGTTTGCGTTTTTCAGTGCAAGGTGGCTATAATGAGTCTTTAGTGTGGTCTCAGACAGTAGTGTTTAGGTGCACTTTCAATTAAGTGCATATGAATTTTATTTCTCTATACCCTTTTCTATGAGAATTTGTTCTCTGAAAGGGGACCAGCTAATAATTTCCTTTCCAAATCCTTAGAAATAAGGCATAATGAGACATGATTTAGACACCAGGCACAGAGAGTTAAGTGCTACCAGCAAGATGCAGAGGAGGAGGCAGTAGAATAGATCACTTCAGAGTCTCGTTCCTGTGTTTACTCCCCTCTGCTCCTAACCAAACCCCGAAATATGAATAAATAAGCAAGACTCAAACAGAGCCCAAGTTCTGCTTGATTCCTCCAGCACAAGCCTATAATATGCAATCTTGGGCAGGAACATTTGTTTGCATGATTTACCAAAACAATGACAGCTGGCAGAGGAGTGTGCTTGCGGACATGAATCATGGAGAGAATTTCTGGAAGGTGACCCTCACGGGATGCAACGTAGAACATCCTGATGGGAAATAAATGTGGAGAGACTTTAAATACCCTTATTACAAAGACAAGCCACAGCAGAGATGTAGAACACAGCAGTACCCCTAATTCTGATTTGAAAGTATCTTTGGAGAAGTCACACTCAGAAATCAAAAGCAAAAAGTTTCTGCACTGTGTGTATACCACATGATCAGTCTTTAACACATAGTTAATTTTGTACTATTTTTTTACTATTTATCCCATCACATGAGATAAAGAAATAATTAATTTGATACTATCCTCAAGTGGGATTGCTTCTTAAAACAATTCAATAATTTATCAACATATTAAAGCCCATGTGGGCAAAATGGTAAAGCTCCCCAGACAATAAAGACTCTAGCAGCCAATGTTTTACAATATTTAAAGGAACAAATCCTGCTCTCATCTATTCTTGCTTTGGAGTCCTGTCCTAACCCTTCCATCCATATTCTCTTTAATCATGTTCATATCTGCTCACCTGGAGACAGCAAATATGCCACCATTCATAGATCCAAAGCAGGAAAGAGCGACAAAAATTGGGACAGCTAAAGAAAATCTTCCCATTAATTGTTCAGCAAAAGTCTGGTAAAGAGAGAAAGACATGAATTCACTGTTGTTACCCAAAAACAACAGAGACAAAAATATTATTTTTTAAGCATTAATCATATCCCGTTGTGCAACATTCACTGACATACTGTGCTGTACATTTGTCATCGTTTCTAATAAAAATTGGAGTCTGTCACTCTCATAGACTAGAAAGCAACTTACTTGTGTCTATTTGCCAATTAAGCCAAGGCAGATTGCCTGAATAGTTAAGTCATCTTACAACCTACAGATGTGAGTTGGAGGCTTGCTCTCCACACATAATGAAGACTGTCCCAGTCAACCCAGCTGTAAATGAGTGCCTACTCTTTCAGACTAAAGAGGAAAAGATGGCTTGACACGCTAGCCATAATAGGTGCCTATAGAGATGCGGAGAAGCTGCTTTGAAGCACTACTGCATTGGAGCAGACTTGATTAATCTAATTAACGCACTCCAGAAGCCTCCATATCACATGCATTCAGAGTCCCTGTGCTTCAAAATGGCAGCAGGGGTAGTTTAACTAAAGCTCATCAAGCAAGCTTTAGATAAAGTGCCCCTGCTGCCACTTTGAAGTGCAGGGTGCTGAATACATGAGTCTCTAGTGGGCACTTTAATTAAAGCACCCAACCCCACACCCAGAGCACATGTACAGAAGCCCATCATTCCTAAATGTGTTGTTCACAGCTAGGAATGATTAATAACAAGGGCTAGTTGATTTGGTTAAATAATTAAAATCAACATGGCATAAAAGTGATAACGCTGGCCTATATATTGTTTAAATATGTATTGCTTAAAACCTGTTATCGAGAGTTTTTTTGCATTCTATAAAGAAGACTTAGACTGAATGGATCAAAAACTAAAATAATCTACATTCTTAATATGTACGAGGCAAGGATTTTGTGGGTGGTGTCTTTTATTGGACCAACTGCAGGGTTGGGAGAAATTTTACCAGCTTTTGAATGCAGTACACTGTACCATGATGTGCATGTGAATATATTTACTCGATCAGAATACAGAAGCCATTAGAAGAAAAATTATCATCACCACCATTTAACTATTTGCCGGACATTGAGCACATGCTTAAGTCCCACTGGCTTTTTTTTAAGTTACCTGAGCTAATGTTTTTTCTAAGATCCCCCAAAACCTATTAATCAATAAACAATCTATTTTAATTAAAAAAAAATTAAGCTTTGTGAAACCAGAGCCTTAAAGAGAAGCTGAACAAAAAAACCTGATTGTATATTTCCTGCTCTTTTTATCCTTATTTTCAGAAGAAATCAAATACAACTAAATCTGTTATAGCCAGCTCTATAAATCTGTATTTTATCCTCCAACACTTACCACTGCCACTGCATTTGAACTCAGCAGTTCCTCAGGACTGATTGTTGTAAAATAAGCGATATTTGTTAATACATAGCCAACTGTGACAGTAACCATTGAAATGCCTATTGCGAGGGGTATATTTCTGAAATACACAAAATAGTTTGTTATTTGTAATATGCTAGCCATTCCTGGAAAATGAAGGAAATAAGAACACCAGGGAAAGCCTTTTGATCCCTGCCATTCATACTTCAAAAATTATGCTCAGCATGCATACATGTGATGATCTAGAAGTATTGCAATTAGAAGCTCTAAGTTAAAACAACAACAGCAGCAGCAACAACAACAAAACCCATCAGTTTCAAGCATCCAAACTGAGCAACCTGGAAAAAGTAAATACTTTTTAATTCTGTTTATCTTTCACAATGATGTCCTAGACTTTATGAAGATACATGCCAACAGAATTTGCCTCAGAGAGAGCAAAAGAAGCATGAAAACCTTGCTATCTTTTCAGTATTAGCGGAAAAAGAACAACATTAATAATAGTACATGCCTAGCTCTTACATGGCACCTTCCATTGTTAGATCTCAAGGTGCTTTAAAAAGGAATTTTTTCACCATTATCACTGTTTTAAAATAGCAACAATGAGGAACCAATAGGCAAGGAGACTTGCCCAAGAGCTGGTAGAACTAAGACAAGAAATCAGGTGACCTGAATCCCAGTGCAGTGATCTGTCCACCAGATCACATTGCCACCCTTGTAATGATGTCCTCTAGGTCAGTCCATTGAGGGATTCACAGGTAATTCTGAAGAAGCAGCATGATAGATCCAGTATTAGCATTCCCTTGGAGAAGGGAGCTCTTGACCAATGCATCATGGTTATTTTCCCCAAGCATAACTACCAGGATCTGTGCCCTGAATAACAGGGGTTGTAGCAGGGGCCAGGCCAACAGCAGGGTTTGGGCCACCCATAGCAGCAGCAGTGGCTGCTGTTCTTGTACCCCAAGTGAATGCCCAGGGCCGGTGTCCAGATCACTATTATACTACTGTCTACCCCCAGCTGACAAAGTCAAAAGTGGTTTTCAAGGGCAAAAAAAGGATGTTACAAGTAGGTACTCTTCTGTGAGACACAGAAGACATGTCAACTCTGGGGCATATGAGGAAAGATGGGGAGTTCTGGACACTCCAACAGAAAATGCTACCACAACCATGGAAGGAAAATGTCAGCCATCTCAAACAGCATGAACACCCATGGGATTCAACACAATGATCTGTTACTTGCTGTAATTTTTAAGAGTTATAGTGCCATTCCTGGATGAGAATGTAATAAGGATTTTCTTGAGAGCCAGTTCTCATTTTTCACACAGATCCTCACTAATAGAATGCCTTTACAGCATTTTTAAGTGGAAATGAGGCTACAAAATAAGATGGAGAAAATGAGATTGGTGTGTTACTGCACCACTTCTTGCCTGCATTAGAAATCAGGGTGATTAGTGCTCCATAGATAAATATTTAAGATGGTCATGCAACACCACATCATGATGAACATGATGCTATTGCATAAGCCTAGTGCTGTTTCAGGCCCACCATCTCATGTAACAGGAGGAAGGACCCCATTTGGTTATGTCATTCATTCAATGTGGGAGGCAAAAACAAAGATGAGAGCATGCAGTATATGCACGTACTATAGTGTTATAATATCATACACTGTTACTACAACTGTGCAAATATTTTTATGATGATGATGATGATGAACCATATGGGGAGGAGATGGCATCAGATTGAGATTAGCTTGGTTTTTTTGGTGTTGCTCTAACCTAAATGAAAAATGTCACTGTGCTTGACATAAAAGGTACTAACAGACCTAAAACTGAATATTTTACTTTGTTCTCTTGTAAGAACTGCAATGGCAATGAAGAGTTAAATTTACAAAGCTACAAAAAGAGGGTCAGTGTCTTCTCCAGGCCCCAACCCATGGCCAATAACTTATTCTGAACCTTTTCCTCAATATGTTCCTGTTGAAGCCATTCCACTTTTTTATAAAATACCTAGCATTCTTTGAAATAGAGAGTGAAAATTATGTGCTGGCCTTGCGATCGGGATGCTCACTGGAAGATATGATAGTGGAGCCTGGCCCTGCTCAAATGAATGTTTATTTATACAACATGGAATGCTATTAACATTGGAGAGGTTGAGATCCCCCTTCCCCCTGCCCCTGAATGGTTAGGGTGCTCTCCTAGACCTTGGGACATCTGAGTTTGAATCTCCTAGGACACAGTAGGAAACTGAAATTGATTGTCCAATGTTATGGGCAAGTTCCATAACTAATAAGTTATTCAGTAAAAGGGAATGCTTCCAGGAGTTCTGTGAACATGACCTTGGAAAATTATTCCCAGATGAATACAACTTGGATTTCTAAATAGTTTCGGGTGACTGAAATCACATTTTAGCATATTTACTATCCATTAAAATATTCTACCTAACTCGTAACACCATACATGTGCCCCTTATATCCTAGGTATAATCCCTGTTCTACTCTCTTGATTTCAGGCAACCTAAACTTTTAACTCCCTGAGCTAAGATTGTCTCTTCTGCATCTCTTGTACTTATCAACCTTTATAGTATCTAGCACCATAGGGTGCCTCATTTTAATATAATTTCCTTTAAAATAAAATTGCATTTCAAAACCAAAGAGGAAAAAGGCACTTTCAAACCTGAGCATACTTAACACACTGAGTCTTGGCTCGTTATGCTGAGCAGTACTAACCCCTGTTGATAGCAAAAAAACATAACTAGTCAGCAAGTGCTATTCATTATACAGCCTGAAGCCTGGGACTTATCACGTTCCCAAAAGCCTTGAGCCAAATAAGAGGTTTTGTGACCTCTCAGTCCTGAGTGCTTTTCTGTAAAAGCAGCACTCCACCAATACCTTCTTTTCTCTCCCAACATGATCAGGGGGCTTGCAATACATTAACATGTAACACCAGTAAGTGTGAGATAGAGCTTACAAAAGGTGAGTTTAGACAAAAGCAAAGGGGCAGTTCCATGATTTTAGGGATGAATAATCTTGCTTCTTGTTGACACTTCAGTTTAGAGTTATACTTTGTCACCAAATCCACTCACAGTACACCAAGGCCAATATGAAAGTTTTGTTAAATTACTATAAAAGTGCTCTAAAAAGGTCTGTTCTGTTACTTAAATTGAAATGATCCTTCTCCACTTGTAATAAGATTCCTTTATTTGCCTTACCTAATCCTTTCACTTTTACACAATCTACAAACTCTAATGCAAAAAGAAGAGACTGCAGTTGTAATACAATATCACAAGTGAGCAGTCCTTGTGAAGTAAGTTAATTAACTGCTAATATAATGGATCTGAACCCATGTTAGGAGGCTAACATTTAAGCACTACATGTTGCAGGACTGATGATGTACCATTTATCTATAAGGTCACATGAGGGATATGATATCTATAAGGCACTGAAAAGGTTAGGATACTTTGTGTAATGCTAGGGTCTTTCTTCTGGCTTGAAAAGAATGTTTTTTCATATGCAGAAAGCTGCCCAAAATATTAAGAAGAACTTGCAAAATGTTTAATTTCATAAAACTGTAACATGTGTTGTCCCCCCCTCCCTCTCCCCCCGCTTTTTTTTGTCTTTCTCCTTTATCCCCTCAGAGACAGTTTTCAAAGTACAACATATAATTACTTCAGGTATTTACAGAAAGGTATTTACACTCATTATAGGAGCACCTTATCAATGTCTTTTTTCATATGTTCTTCTCTATTTCAGAGGTGTTCGAAGTTTATCTATTACTAGACCAACTGAATAGTTGGAAAAATTCTTCTTTACTTCCTATAAACTTCCTAAGGCCCAAAGCACACTGATTAGATCCAGACCATGATGGGACAAGAAATGTAAAACTGCCAATACATCTCCACCACTCCCACAATAACTATGCCCTACAACAGAACCATCACCATTCCTGGATCTTAAACCTGCACCTTCAGAAATGGAATATATCTCACCCAGTGTGCTGAATGCCTTGATGGAAACTATGTAGGAGAAACCAAACAACAACTACATACTAGAGTGAATGCACACCAAAAATCTATCAAAGACAAAAATACCCAGTTTTCTGTGAGTGCACATTTCTCACAAGACAACCACTCTCTCTCCAATCTCTCAGTTCTGATCCTCAAAGGGAATTTACAAAACACCTTTCGTATATGAGCCTACGAGCTTCACTTCATAAATCTGAAGTGGATTTTTTAGATATAAAAAATCATGGACATATAGACAATCATTGGATTTATGGCACATTATAACCTGCCTGCCATCCAATAACTCCAGGTAACTTCTCTACATTTTACCAGCTCTATTTTATCACCAGTCAACGTTCCTTCTTTTGTTTCCCCACCACCACCTACCTGTCTCTCACCCATTAACACCTATCCCCCTCTGATCTTCTCTGCCATGCATTTGCATTTTCAGACCTGCATTTTGCATATTGGCTTACACTTCTATTCGACCCTAGAGAGTAGACAAACACCAGCATCCTCTCCCTATGCCTGAAGAAGGGTGCTTGTGCCTGAAAGCTTGTAAGGAACATTTTTTCCAACTATTCAGTTGGTCTAATAAAAGATATCACATTTACCTAAATAACCTTTTCTTCTCTATTTTAGGTATTCTTGTCCCTCAGAAAGGACAAGCAACACCCACATTTAATTCTCTACCAAACTGCCACCTCTAAGATTTAACTTATTTTGCTTCTGCTCCCCATAAATTAAATAAGCTCAATGTAGAATAGCCTTGAGTATTAGAAATAGTTGACCTATCAACTTACTGTTACAATAAAAACCATACTTTGTTGCAAGGACTGCAGTGATCCACAGGCGGTTTCTAGGTAGACTTGATTGGAATTTAAAGTTTTTCATGAGAAAACGCCAGTTCACTGAAGCTGAAACATTTCCCCCAAACATATCAATTCTGACGCAACTTTCACCAGGCAAGATTGTTCAGGTTCATGCTTAAAAGCCAACCAGTTCAGAATTCCCAGTCAAAAGCAAACATCAGTATAGTTCGTAGCATAGTGGTCAGATGCTCACCTGGGATAAGAGACTAAAATTCAAGTCCATGGCCTGAAT